TTTTGCGATTTTTAATCAAATTTTTAAAGTCCTATAATTTACAATGAATTTTTGGTTATTGCATATGTTATAGCCTATTTTGTGTTATGTATTTTAATAAATTGAAGAGGCAACTATTGATTATTTTTAATAATTAGCAATGACTTACCATCATTACCATTGTTAGTGTTGTTACCGTCGTTACGATTGTTACTGCCGTTATCGTCGTTACCATTGTTACCGTCATCACTGTCGTCATCGCCATCGTCGTCGTCACTGTCGTCATCGCCATCGTCGTCGTCACTGTCGTCACCGCCATCGTCGTCGTCACTGTCGTCACCGCCATCGTTGTCGTCACTGTCGTCACCGCCATCGTCGTCTTCACTGTCGTCACCGCCATCGTCCTCTTCACTGTCGTCATCATCATTTCCAAGTACACTATCGACCACATCATCATCATCGTCTTTATTACTTGCTTTCTCGCACGCATATAAAGTTGGTTGCATACAATCGAAAGAAGCGAGTTTCTTGCCAGCTCTCAAAGAATAAACGGCACATTCTCCGCTTTGTGGCTCACCTTCACCCCAAACTTCATCCGCTTGTTCGCTCGTAAGTTCGGTACCGTCACCATGTACCCAATTACCAGACACATCTTTTCTCAGATCCACATATAAGCCATGTACATATTTGGATAAATAAGTTTCATTCAAAACGCATTCGAATATACCTTTATCTAAAACTGCCGAAAGAAATCCGTTTTGCTGTTTGCAATTATCTACGGCGTAATTATGATAAGTGTTAGCGCCATCCATTTTTATACAATATTTATCACATTTAAAATACCCCTGTTTGATCTCACATTCTATAGAAAATAAAAAAAGAAATAAATCTAATTTTAATCTAAATTATATCCACGAGCTTCTACAAATCAAATCCTCCATCTTACCTCCGTTATTTTGAGCTTGTTCACATACGTAAAAGTGATTATCATCACATTTAGTCATTATTACTTTATCGCTGAACTCTATTGCAGCGCAAGGTTTTCCGCCATCTTTATTTGGTTCTCCGTCCTTCCATATTTGGCACGCCATTTCGCTCATAGCCGTTTTGGTAGCAGAATAATAAAATTGATTTTGGCGATTATCGTAGAAAAATCCAGCCCATATGTAAACGGCTACCATTTTCTCTGCATCCTCTCTAAATTTCTCTAAATCATCCGCTCCTTTTACTAATGCCAATTGTTTATCTCTGTGATGACACGTTTCTAACGCTTGTTTGTAGTTCAAAGTTGCTGTACTTATCTCTATACAATCGTCACAAGCTATTAAAATATATTGAAAATTGATTATTACACAGAATAAAACCTGGTAAAAATTCATAAATACAGAAAATAAGCTTTACCTTTTGCGTAAAACGTAAACAAAGGCGCACGTATCTTCAGAATTATCAAATAAATTAATAAATGTCGCATTTTCAAACGGATCTTAATTCTATTAAGTTAAATAATTAGATAAATATTTGGAATTAATTTAGTATTAAAGTTTATTAAGCTACAATTAACTCACCTAAGCTCTGTTTATCGTTGCGGTTATATAGAAGCTATTGCTACATCTTTCCAGGCCCATTTTATCAGGAAGAAGATCAAAATCTCATTGCATGTCCATGCGATTCGGAACATCACGCCAAGCATTTTATCTCGGTTTCGCGTTATATTAACGTTAATTTTATAAATAAAAATTTGAAATTAAGCCGAATTTTATAATTAGTATTTCATTAATTCATAAACTAAGTTAATTAAAATTTTAATTAATGAAAATTTATCATTTATTATTAAATATAAATTTCAAATGTAATTACTATTAATTTTTAAATGCAAATTAGAAATTAATTAGGCTAATTAATATGCAATAATCAAATATTTATTATTTTATTTTGTCACAACAAATTCTGTGTTTGACGTCATCATAAAAATTTCAAACAGAAAATTATGAGAAAATATTTCATCGTTTAATTGCATTTATTATTAAATTCTTCTAATTAATTAACTGTTTAATTATAGTCTAACTATAGATTAATTTTTATTTTTTTTATTTTTTACTTATATTTGTGTTTGACCACGAGAGGTCTCTTTACTTTTGAAAGAAAATAGCGGGAAAATAAAATGAGGCGTGACAACATGGCGTCGATAATTTATCTTAAATATTCAAATTCTCTAAATGCAACATAAGTAATTAATTTCTTTTATTCGATAATTAATTAATTGTTGTAAGTCTTACATAATTTAAGAGATCATTTATGCCTTCAATATAATTATAAAAGTAATAAATAGACTAATAAATTAAATTGCTTAAATTTCAGGAATGACTTACCTGAACCTAGAAAATGCAGTATATACTTGATGTAAGTATTGTGTACGAATATACTGGTAAGATTGCAAATGTAAATGACACTGTTGGGACCTTAACAGAGTCCATAGGAACAAAAAGTCAAAGGAACCAAACCTCTACTTATAGGTGACCATGATTCCTTTGACATATTTTGCTTCTATGGGCATGCTCTATTCTGTTAAGGTTCCAACAGTGTCATTCACATCTGCAATTGTGCCAATATAAGTTGCAATGTGGACTTAGCTTAAGTCGTCCATTTACATTATTTATAATAGATAAAAATTTGTATAATATATACTTGAATTATATATTGTCTTAGGTCAATACATAATGCACAATTCAAATAAATTTGTTACAAAATGTTGGCTTTAATAATAATGAATTATTTATTATAAAGTAGTATTCATATTTTAATTAACATAATTAAATTAAAATATCTACTTGTATGATGATAAAACATTAATTAATTGATTTGTTTATTTTATATTTTTATTTGAAAAATTAAGAGCGAAATACAATAAAACAAAATAATTTACAGTCTTAAAGTGAAATTTTATCTACAGTCTATAAATATTATTAAATGAAAATTGATTTAAGGTACTGTGCATGTTATTTTATAATAAGAATTTTTAATAATGNGAAAATTGAGTTCTATGTTATTTTATAATAAGAATTTTTAATAATGATCCTTTATTTCAGAAAATATTCAGTATTTTGTTTTTAACTTAATGTTGAATGTTTGAATTCAAATATTGTAATTTATATTTTTGTTACCGGTTCCACGAATGTAGAAAAACAGGCGTTATTTTTTGTAAAACGCTGGATGTTACCATCACTTGTAAACAAATGTTTTCCAACTTACCCAATCTGCTGAGTATCCTACTGGAATCTTTTCTCCTCTTTCTCTTTTTTCCTTCAGCTAGACTTTTGAGTAAACTCTACCCCTAATAATAATAACTTAACGTAAATATACACCTTTACCTTTACATATGTTAAACCGTATACTCTTCAACCTGTAACTTGGAATTAATTTTTAAAAATAAAAAATATAGTATAGATTAACTGAATATAAAATAAAATATGAATGTAAATTTATATAATATTGGAAATGTTAAATAATTAAATATATTACCTCTTAACGTTTAGCTCTCATAAACTTGAACACAATATAATTAATTAATATATAATATAATTATATAGTTTTTCTAATATTCTAAAGAGTAGGTTTGTATACAGTATATGTATACTTATACTAAATATTTTTTAAGGATAATTTCGTAAGTATTTTGTATACTTTCAGATTCTTTTAAATATAATATGCATTACATTGCATAATGCATTCAGCATTCCAGTTTAACTTTTAATCGCAAATAAAAAAACTAACTCTTTGATTTAGTTAAGTTTAATTCTTATTCATAGATGAAGCTGCATCAATTTGTGAACAAATTGATTTTTAACTAAAACAGATAATTTCTTAAGCAATTGTTACTGTGACTCTGTGACTTCTGTATTATTCGTATTTCGTTCTTAATTTGGGATTAACAACTCTTAAATTAGTTTAAATTTCAAAAATCATTCATACCTACACCGTCTCCTCTGCACAAGAAATAAGTTTCTATATCGCAAGATACCGAAATAAACTTATACCCTTGTCGTAGAGAAAAAACAGCGCAATCATTTTGTTTGGGTTCGCCTTCGGCCCAAAAGGAAACCTGTTCAAAGGGTGTTCCATCACTATTCATCCACTGGCCATCTATTTTATGGAGACCTATCCAAATTCCATGACTAAAATTATATACGTGAATTTCGGTCAACACCATATACAAAATGGTATAATCTGTTATTGGAGAGACGATGCCATTTTCTTCCTTGCATGATTTCTCTGCATCATTAATACTTTTCTTAACATTATGCAATTTCAGACAATGGCTTTCATACATCCAATAATTTTTATCTTCTTCACATCCTGAACAAACAAGTATAAAATGTAATTTATTTATTTAAATTTAATTATTTTAACAGGAAAAAAAATTAGACTAAAAATATCTAAATTGTAATTAAAGTAAATGGGATAATTAGAATTTATATTTTACCTCCAGACGAAGACAATTGTTTCTGGCATACAAACTTTAGGGCAGTTTCGTTAGATCTGCACTTGATTTGTTGTACAGTTCTATCCGAATTTACACATCCACAAGTTCCTGCTAATTGTACACTTTTAGGAAAATCTGGATTCCAAAGTTTAAAGCCGTCTGAAGTTTTAGTGCTTCCATCACTAAAGGTTAAAGTTTCTCCATCGTAAGTGAACCCTGCCCAGATCTTTTCTCCAAGATGTCTATACCTGTCTATCTCTCTTTGTAACCAAGAAAAAGTATCTTCATCAGGAACAGGAGCTATACTACCATTATAATATTTACTTTGACATATTTGTTCGGCTTCAACATAAGTTTTCCTCTTCTTCACTTCAAAGAAGCAAGTACTACAAGTTGCTCCTAATAGAAATCCATTAATTAGGTTCTAAATTTTTATTTTTATACATAAATTTAACTTATTTTTCAATATTTTAAAATAATTATAAATATTTTTACATTAAATCTTAAACAGCAACACACTCAAGGCAACTTAATATAGAAGTACTGTACATAGCTAACTTAAAATTGCTTATAAAAGCAAAAATAATTAGAATAATTTTTAAAATAAGAGAAATATGTAAACAAAATATGATATTTTATACGTTTTTAATGATTTTTTTTAATTAAGAGTCTAACTTACCTTTGTTAAAAACATTGCACAGAATTAGAGTGACTGTAACCCCACGCAATGTGGACTTCTCCATTTTAAAATAACCTTTAAAAATATCCGATTTCAAACTGATAATATATACTGTATGTACTTTAGATAAGTCGAATATATAAATATAAAATGAAACACGAAATTAATAAAAATGTACTCTCTCTCAAATTTATTCTATGCAAATATTTGCAAACGTATTTCTAATATTTTTCGCAAAATTTGAACTTTAATATATATATATATAATATTCAACTCACGCAGTATAAGTTAAAACAGTATTTACTTTAAACAGTACTTTGTAAACAATATTTTAAGACTTAACACTAATTTAAGTTAAAAATACTATTAAAATGGATATTTACTGACAGAAATGTTTGCTAAATTTTAAAATTCTATACTTTCTTCTTTATTTTTTACTTTACACTTTATTCTTTATTCTATTATTTAAAAAAATATATTAAATAAATTATAATATTAACAGATGTATATTTTCATAATAGGAAATTAAGTAATGTAAGGTTTTTGTTGAGCTTCTCCCTGTGTTACCTATAACTAATGATTCTTTTAATTAATTGCATTATTGCCACAATTAAATGTTGTTTATATATTTCAAGCAATAAACTTTAATAATTCTAATTCATGTAAGATAGAAATGATTTCTATACATGAAAATAAATAGATGCATTGATTTAATTTTAAAAAGAAATAAATAATAAAATAATAATCATATTTTTAATGAGCTATAAATATGGATATGTGCGAGTTTAATTAGTGTTCTAGAATGGATTGCACGTTGCCGTGTGCTGTTCACAATTTCTAAAAATAAATTCGAAAATGTCATGAATTGTTACACTAAAAAAATTCCAAAAAAGTTTTTTTTTCTATAAAAATGGGACGAGATAAAAATATAATCATTATATAAATAATATAGTCGAACCTGTAACAACGGCCATTTTTATGTCTGTTTCAATGGTAGTCGTCAGAGGTTTGACTTTACTATAAAAATGTATACAATATTGTATACATTTTGTATAAAAAAAAATTAATATTTTATCGTAAATATTGGCCTAGGTTTATAAACAGAGTTATAAACTGTGTTTGTAGATATGTTATTGATTTTATACCGTGTTTAGAATTATCTCGGAAGTTCTGCGAAGTATTTTGCGAAATTGAATATATTTATAGAATGAATTAGAGATTTAGAGAGGTGACTCGGAGTCCCGGGTCAGTCACGAATGTTGAGATCGTGGCAGTCACTTCTCTCCAGAAGCTGTAAAAATATATAAATAAAAATTTAACAAAACAGATTTTTGTTTGCTACTTAACGATATAAATTAAATTTTGTTTAGATTTTTTGTGTTTTCTATATAAAAAAAAAATAAAATTTTGGCATGCTTCTGTACTCGAGGTTTGAGCAAAATGGTCCTGCTGACCTCCTCTACGTAGCTGGACTTGGAATTAATCATATACTTAATATTAAGATAACGTTTTGTTTGTTGGGATACGGAAACGCAACACGTGGGTGATCTATCAAGCGAGATGTCTCCTGGGAGAACTTTTAAGAGAAACAAGTGTTAGACACGTGAAGAAAATACGGGAAATTCCACGCGACCAAACCCGTTGAGTGGGTGATGAGGCGCAAATCTACGTTCACTGGTGTTAGCCACAAGGCCAGTGGCTGGCGCAGAAAAATGAACTTAAAGTCTTTGTTTTCCATATAATTTTTCATTTCATATTCAATTCAAATAATTTTTATTTCATATTTTAATAAAAATAATATAATTGTTGTTCGTGTGTCTTGTATCAAATGGGGTCAGACTCAGTGACGATTTTACTCGTTATTAGCATTTTCAATTTTCTATAAAACTCATCTTTCCCCTCAAAATTAATCTTTTTGATATTTTATGACAATAATATAAAATGTTTTTAAAATAAAATATCGTAATAGATGCGGCAACCACAATTTTAAATTTTTTGGCGAAGAAAGTTATTTACGCAACTCGTTGCTGGATTTTTAAATTTGGTTTTAACTTCAGAAATTAATCGCTTGAGTAATGTGTAATTGATATCAGGATAACAAAAATACTTGCTACATCTACTACTAATAATTCTACCTTCATTCTACATTGTTCTTCATCATTCTTCCTCAAATTATATTATTATTAATTTTATATTCACCTAGATCATTCACTATTCACCTTTTAGTTTTCGCGAGTAACCCATTCTTGGAATATGTCTCAACCACAGTATCAATTTTTAAATTTTAATAAAGTAAAACATACATTTTTGTATAAAACACATCATTTTAATAATACTTCCCGACCCACAAACGACATCTAGTAATTTATCGATCTCTATAAAGACCACTATCGACCAGGTTGGGAACACCTGCTCTAGAATATATTATAATTGGATAGTGCTTTAAACGAAATATATTAATAATTCCATGAAAAATTTTTATACTTGAAAAATAAATTCCCCGACCACCTCATTGTCGGCTTGCCCGAACCCATAATGGGCTTGTTAAAAGAGGCTCTCAGTGCCCACAGAGTGAAAAAAGTTAGAAAATAAAATAAAAAAACTACAAATCCAGCATAAGTTACTTCTGCATGACAGTTAACTTTTTTATTATTTATTTATTTTTTGAAGCACCCTTCTATACAACATTCGGAAGATCTGAATGAAATTATTACAGTTTATTTTCTAGCGCCAAAGAAATTACTTATGCCTCGTAATTCTGAGTTGTTATTGCTGAAGGATAGAAAACTGATGGGTACTTCAATTGCTTTTATTTTAAAAATTAAATATATGCAGGATATGTTCAGTTTTATTCTTTGTTTCTTCAATTTAGAATTTTAAAGAGTGCCCAGAAATCTATTGTAAACAGAAATTTCCATGAAACGTTTTATATTTTTTACCGCTATGTTTTTAAGAGAGATTATTCACAAATAATGTACTGTACTTCTTTGTAAGAAGAAAAACCTTTAGACATAAACCTTATTCTTTTATATGTAGAAAGAACGTATCCGCACGACTGTAGAGTGTCTTGTATTTGTATTGTTCACATTAAAAACATTGCTAGTGGTATTTTGAACTAATCACAATCATTTATAACAATTCTCACGCATTTAAAACATTCCAATTCAATTCTTTATTGTATGAACCTTACAAGGTGGTTAAAGTATTACACAAAAACTGGAGATAGTACAATTAATATAATAGCTTAGAACAATAAAACACAGCAATAATCATTTATACACATATTATGTAAATCTAAAATTAGTAAAATGTAACAAATTAATTAAATAGCTTAGTACAAAATAACACAAAGTAAAATACACTAAAATAATCATTTTTTAAATCTTAAGATTTAAATCTTGTCAATTGCTTTTTCCTATTTGTTTCCAATTTGATACAGTGAAAAAACATGTTCCCACATTTCATACTTTTGCAAACTACAGTTACTGCAAATTCTCTTAGTGTCTATTATTAGTCTACTGTTATACGTCAAAATATAGTTTTGACCACATTTCTTCTGTAGAATTAATCATTTTACATGATAATTTATGTCCATAAACTAGGGGTCTCCAAACTTTTTATCCCATTGACCCCTTTATAGAATATTTGCCTTCTTGTCGACCCCCAGATTAAGTATTTTACAAAACATTAAATAATTTTTTGCGTTTCTGATATTAAGCAATAAGGAGACCTGCATAACAACCCAACGAAATAATTTATAGTTCCCATATCTTATAAATTTACCCAACATTAACAGAAAAAGAAGATATTTTTCACTGATTTATAATCTNGCAAGTTTTGTTGAGTTTTGTTACCAAACATTGTAGAGTTTGTTCATTTGGTGCAAGTAAAGCAATATCATCTGCAAACCTAATACTTTGTATTAATTGGCCTCCAATTTTAATTCCGAGACTGTCCTCACTTATGGCTTCATTCATTAATTCCTCCAGATAAATGTTAAAAAGAGTAGGTGAAAGTGTACACCCTTGCCTGACTCCTTTTCCAATACTGCATGGTTTGCTTTCTCCAGTTTTTGTTCGGATAAAGGCAGATTGATTCATATAAAGTGAAGCAATGAGTTTTTTATCTCTCCAATCTGTTCCTATTTTTCTTAAGATTTCCATTAGCTTTGTCCAGTTAACCATATCAAAAGCCTTTTCCATGTCAATAAAGCAAATGTACGTATCCTTATTAACCTCAATGTTTCTTTCACAGATTGTTCTCAAGAGACCAATGGCATCCCTTGTTCCTTTTCCTTTTCTGAATCCAAATTGTTCTTCACATAGAAATGTTTCAGCCTTGTTGTAGAGTCTTCTGTTAATGATTTTAAGAAGGATTTTTGAGGCATGTGAAATTAAACTAATTGTTCTAAAATCACTACACTTTTTAGCTTTTGCTTTCTTTAATATAGGTATCAAAATACTTTGAGCAAAGTCTTCAGGCCATTCTCCTGTTTTATATATGAGATTCTAAATATTGAACCTGTTATCGATGTAATTTGTGTGAAAAAATCTTTCCACAAACGTTTTCGAGCTTTCCAACTAGCTCTTCTTCAGGTAGACAAAAAATTCCGACGAAACAGTTCGAAAAATGGAACATAGATATTTAAATAAAAAACCGAATCTAAAAATAGAACGCAGATGTTTAAACAAAAAATATGAAACTCGCATAACGAACGATCATTAATCTTTCTATAGCGTGGCAGGCCCTCATAAACAACGATCTATAAATATCAACATCAGCGCACGAATGCGCATGACCATCTTAATGATCGTTCGTTATGCGAGTTTCATATTTTTTGTTTAAACATCTGCGTTCTATTTTTAGATTCGGTTTTTTATTTAAATATCTACGTTCCATTTTTCGAACTGTTTCGTCAGAATTTTTTGTCTACCTGAAGAAGAGCTAGCTGGAAAGCTCGAAAACGTTTGTGGAAAGAAGATTTTTTCACGCAAATTACACCGGTAACAGGTTCAATATTTAGTATTTCATCCCCGGTGTCAGAGTGAAGTTTAATTTACTATATATGAGATTGCATAAGTCTGTT